AAGCGCAAGAGGTGTACGTTACCAGTGCATGTTCAGGTTATGCAGCGTCATGCTTACATGTCATAAATAAGTTGTTTTAAGATGACATGTCTTAACACATGGGCATGGTAATATACTAGACGTTTAATCGATGGGTTGTCAAGGCAACGGCCCGGGTTCGATCCCCCACACCCCATAATGGCTACAATAAGTGAAGTCTAGTTTTTGTGTTCTACGCCTTTTCATGGCTAGACCATGGCAGAAAGAGGTTTAGAGCTATCAAGTACTACCTCACTCACTCCCTAATTACTCACTCACTCACCCATTCGTGTAATTTCAGATGTAGGCTACTCTATCTAAGGTGGTTACAATTTTTACGACAACCATAACGCAAAACCAGTTTTATGAACATGCCCTAACTGAACTCCGGGGCAGTCCGTCCCTGCCAAGGGGTCTTGAGTCAAGCTGGAAGCTGGAATTCACCAGACACAGGAACCGGTATAAGTATTTCGATCACTTTATTTCAGTATATCAGGATCACGTATTACGTATATACACATGAGATGTAAAACACTGTAAACGTATATTATCTTTAGATGTTCATATTTGGGGAATCTGGACATTGTGTAATAAATGTCTTCGTGTCATGTGTCATCCGGGCAATGCAGACCGGAAGATGATGTCTACATGCAGAGACACGTGATCTGGGTTACAAATCATTGGTCACCTCGAGGCATTATATTCATTGAATCATGATAGACTAAATACGTATGATTTTGACATATATTTTTCTGCAATGATGGGTTGGGCCATTTTCGCCAGCGAAATCCTTGGCCGTTCTTACCTGCTTCCAAATATACTCATGCCAATAATGGTTGTCACCCCCCTCCCCACCCCAACCCCACACACACCTCACACCCCCACTCCACACACCCTCTCCACTTAAAAAAATTGAAGGGGGTGACAACCATTATTGGCATGAGTATATGTTTTGGCTATTGTGACGATATGATGCACGAAGGCAAATAGCTATTATATGAATACAGATTTATGTAGATATTACTAATATTACTTGAATTTTACGTCCGATATATCAAATGTTAAACCATACTTTTTCGATATGTATGTATGTAGGTAGGTAGGTGGTTCACGGATATTTTCTTAAATAATGAAACTTGAATATTCCAGCTTCAAAAAGTTGTGTTACTTTGTAATTTGTAATGTCAATAGCATATTCATTCGTTGTATACGTATTTCTGGTCGGCGAAATTGAAAAATAACTCTTTTTATTAATTTCTGTTTACATAATAACGTCTAAAATGGCTGGTCTCGGATGGTGTTTTGGTGAAGGTTTATTGTGTAGATTACAAACAATTACCGTATAGAAGTATACATGATCGCTGAACTCGCGTCGTACAACTACCTACAGACGTACGTAATTCAGCGGAAACAATCCACATCGCTTGTTGTGGACATTATGCAATATGATTTTTTGTTTAATTTCTGCTTATTCTTGTTCCTTCACTCCGTTGAACCGGAAGCTGGCAGGGGTAATGGAGGCGAAGAACGATTTGACATGCCACAATTTGCGCTTGAAATGTTGAATTAAATATATTGTACGTGAGTAATTATTAAATATGAGGTTGGAAATCTGAGAACACAACTCTGTGAGGAAATGGGTGTCTACCTTTGATGATGGCCATATTTTATTTTGATATTAAAAAATATTTTGCGAACCGAAGCGAGGGAAGCACGTTGCCAACCTTTGCTCGTTTCGCTCGCATATGAAAAGACTGGTCATTTTCTCTTTGTTGCGCAACCCTAAGTGCGCTACAATTTGCCTGTGTCTCAAGGAAGGATGTAATTTTCCAAACTTTGAATGAAGCAGCACAAGCATTGTTGTAATCGCTTACTGGGGCAAAGGTCAGTTCAGCTGTGATACTGCTGTTATTCGGCGTCAAACAAACACATGATATAGTCAGATTGTACAATCGACACTGCTTTTCGCAGACATTTGTTATGGATGTGGAAACGGTTTTGTCGCTTCTATTGTATTTTGTGTTTTCTGCCTGGCAACGTTTTGATAGTGTTTGTGCGTTTTAGTTGGCCAATCCAGTTTCAGGTTAAACACGTTTCCCCAGCAGTATATACAGTATACTTACACAGAGTTAAGGCCATTATCTTATAAAACGCAACTTGAGAACACACACACACACACACACGCACGCACGCACGCACGCACGCACGCACGCGCACGCACAAAGGCGCTTAGTTTTTCCCTCGTTCACTGGATGTCAATCTCAACGGCACATCGTATTGTCAATCTCAACTCCCTGGGGATCATAAGAACAAGTTTTTATTAACTGTAAGAAATTTCATTTACGTATTTGCATGCACAGATACATGGGGTTTGCGTGTCACTATGACTTCGAAAGCACCTAGCAGAGTTGCCTCTCTCAGCATTGCCGGGGGTCCGATCAAGGTTTTGAAAACAGGATTTGCCACACCACCCCTGATCTGTTAGGAAACTGACCAACATGGTGTAAGATCTGCATTAGGATTCCGTCACAGATCTATATCCCGGATGAGATATACCTCATGCCATGTCATTCCAGTATGACAAATACCCTTGATTCAATTGCTAGTTTGTGTTATGGGGTGACGCCATGGCGCCGCGTTTCAGTAACTTCCCCCCCCAAAATGTGCCACTCATTTCAGTGTCATCAGACTGGCGGGTTACATTGGGTTGGAAATTTAGTTCACCCCAATATGGCTTTCCACCAAGGCAATGCCATTGTCATATGTTGTTGTTTTTAATAAATATGCTCAATGTGAAGAATTTGTCGGCAGTGGTGAAAAAAGGTTGATATTTCAGTTTGTGGAAGATACCCAAAAGTCAAGAATGAAATATATATTGTTCGGTCGATACAGCGATAGTGTGAAGGGTAAAGTACTAGTAAAGTAGTAAAGGTAAAGGTAAAAATTCTCGTCACCAGTACTATCGCAGTGTCCTCGAGGCTGATATCTGGCAACACATGGATCACGGGTGTACGGGTATGTGGTTTGGGCTGACAACGATTCATCGTCAGAAACAAACGTTTTGTTCTATACGATTAAAATGTTTTCTCGGAAATCTGAGCTTCAATATGTATGTACTATGTTCCTATACTGGTACCATATGTATTGAATATGTACATATACTGGCACCGTACCCATTGAATATGTTCCTATACTGGCACCATACCTATTGTATATGTTCCTATACTCGGACCATATCTATTGAATATCTACCCATACTGGCACCAGATCTATAGAGTATGTACCTATACTGGGACCATATCTATGGAATGTCTACCTGTACTGGCACCATATCTATTGAATATGTTCCTATACTGGCACCATATCTATGGAATGTCTACCTGTACTGGCACCATAACTATTGAATATGTTCCTATGGTGGCACCATATCTATTGAATATGTTCCTATATTGGCACCATATCTATTGAATATGTAACTATACTGGCACAATATCTGTTGAATATGTTCCTACACTGGCAGTATATATATTAAGTATGTAACTATACTGGCACCACATATATTGTGCATGTACCTATACTGGAACCATATCTATTGTGTATGTACCTATACTGGAACCATATCTATTGTGTATGTAACTATACTGGCACCATATCTATTGAATATGTAACTATTCCGGCAGCATATCTATTGTGTATGTACCTATACTGGCACCATATATATTGAGTTTGTAGCTATACTTGCTCCATATCTATTGTGCACGTTCCCATACTGGCACCACATCTATTGAATATGTTCCTATACTGGCACCATATCTATTGAATATGTTCCTATACTGGCACCATATCTATTGAATATGTTCCTATACTGGAACCATATCTATTGAATATGTTCCTATACTGGCACCATATCTATTAAATATGTCCCTATATTGGCACCATATCTATTGAATATGTTCCTATACTGGCACCATATCTATTGAATATGTTCCTATACTGGCACCATATTTATTGTGCTAGTACCTATACTGGCACCATATCTATTAAATATGTACCTATACTGTCACCATATCTATTAAATATGTACCTATACTGGCACCATATCTATTGAATATGTACCTATACTGGCACCATATCTATTGAATATGCACCTATACTGTCACCATATCTATTGAATATGTACCTATACTGGCACCATATCTATTACTGGCACCATATATTACCTATACTGGCACCATATCTATTAAATATGTACCTATACTGTCACCATATCTATTAAATATGTACCCTATACTGTATATCTGTATGTACCTATACTGTCACCATATCTATTAAATATGTACCTATACTGGCACCATATCTATTAAATATGTACCTATACTGGCACCATATCTATTAAATATGTACCTATACTGGCACCATATCTATTAAATATGTACCTATACTGGCACCATATCTATTAAATATGTACCTATACTGTCACCATATCTATTGAATATGTACCTATACTGGTACCATATCTATTAAATATGTACCTATACTGTCACCATATCTATTAAATATGTACCTATACTGGCACCATATCTATTAAATATGTACCTATACTGTCACCATATCTATTAAATATGTTACCTATACTGGCACCATATCTATTAAATATGTACCTATACTGGCACCATATCTATTAAATATGTACCTATACTGTCACCATATCTATTAAATATGTTCCTATACTGTCACCATATCTATTGTGCATGTACCTATACTGGCACCATATCTATTAAATATGTACCTATACTGGCACCATATCTATTGAATATGTTCCTATACTGGCACCATATCTATTGAATATGTTCCTATACTGGCACCATATCTATTGAATATGTTCCTATACTGGCACCATATCTATTGAATATGTTCCTATACTGGCACCATATCTATTGAATATGTTCCTATACTGGCACCATATCTATTGAATATGTTCCTATACTGGCACCATATCTATTGAATATGTTCCTATACTGGCACCATATCTATTGAATATGTTCCTATACTGTCACCATATCTATTGTGCATGTACCTATACTGGTACCATATCTATTAATATTGTATGTACCTATACTGGCACCATATCTATTGAATATGTTCCTATACTGGCACCATATCTATTGAATATCCTATCTATCACCATATCTAATATGTTCCTATACTATATCTATTGAATATGTTCCTATACTGGCACCATATCTATTGAATATGTTCCTATACTGGCACCATATCTATTGAATATGTTCCTATACTGGCACCATATCTATTGAATTGCATGTTCCTATACTGGCACCATATCTATTGAATATGTTCCTATACTGGCACCATATATATGTTCCTATACTGGCACCATATCTATTGAATATGTTCCTATGTGGCACCCTATACTGGCACCATATCTATTAAATATGTACCTATACTGGCACCATATCTATTGAATATGTTCCTATACTGGCAGCATATCTATTGTGCACGTTCCCATACTTGCACCATATCTATTAAATATGTACCTATACTGGCACCATATCTATTGTGCATGTACCTATACTGGCACCATATCTATTGAGTCTGCTACCTCAGCTACTACACCTAACAACTCTATATATACCACTGTACCTTAGAATCCACCTTATGTATGCATATGTTAACGTGGCCATTTAACATCTTTACCACATTTTACGAATTCCAATTTGAATGATATAGTAAAAATAACAATACTGTTTTAAGCTGCCTCTCTTGTTTTGTTTTACAGTTGTACAAAATAACACACAGCGATACGGGCTGTGAAACGCCACTCACAGGTACACTCGAAATAACGTTTAAGACTTGACAAAACGGTTCCGAGAGAAATTATTGACCAGTTGCCCATATATTTATAATACAAACCCTTGTTTCGAACAACGGATTACCCCTCATATAGGCAATTTCTCCAAGCGAGCGAGTGTCTGGTTGCTACTACATGTACTGTACGGACATCTCAAAGCTAAACGGGTAAACACAGAGTTAATTCCAGAACTGTTTTGTAACTGTCGGGCGGTATATCAAGAGAAAAACTATACACGGCGGAAATCAGGCAATCGTTTAAAACTTGCTTACATCATCGATCGACATGTTGAAGCGTCATGTGTCAGAACAATCAATACCAGATACACGACTTTCTAACTTTAGATTGTTTTCCAGAGATGAATCGGTCAACAAAAAAAGCACTAAAGTGTTGGGTGGATAAAGAAATTAGAAAAAATGGGATCTTTTCTCATGAAGTTGCTCATGACTACAACGTTGTGGCTCTATATCAGAGGTGTACGTTACCAGTGCATGTTCAGGTTATGCAGCGTCATGCCTACATGTCATAAATAAGTTGTTTTAAGATGACATGTCTTAACACATGGGCATGGTAATATACTAGACGTTTACTCGATGGGTTGTCAAGGCAACGGCCCGGGTTCGATCCCCACACCCCATAATGGCTACAATAAGTGAAGTCTAGTTTTTGTGTTTTACGCCTTTTCATGGCTAGACCATGGCAGAAAGAGGTTTAGAGCTATCAAGTACTACCTCACTCACTCCCTAATTACTCACTCACTCACCCATTCGTGTAATTTCAGATGTAGGCTACTCTATCTAAGGTGGTTACAATTTTTACGACAACCATAACGCAAAACCAGTTTTATGAACATGCCCTAACTGAACTCCGGGGCAGTCCGTCCCTGCCAAGGGGTCTTGAGGAATTCACCAGACACAGGAACCGGTATAAGTATTTCGATCACTTTATTTCAGTATATCAGGATCACGTATTACGTATATACACATGATATGTAAAACACTGTAAACGTATATTATCTTTAGATGTTCATATTTGGGGAATCTGGACATTGTGTAATAAATGTCTTCGTGTCATTTGTCATCCGGGCAATGCAGACCGGAAGATGATGTCTACATGCAGAGCACACTCCGGCACAGCGATGACTTAACATAACATCACTGCCACAGGCTAATTTGCATATCACGTGACTGGACTTTTCTCTTGTTTATAATCAAACGGGCATATTCATAATAAGAATATACTGGACTCACGAAAGCTTTTCGGCGTTCTCTTCATAATGTTTTACATTGTTACATATATATTCTTCCACAACTGCGACAGTAAGGTCTATGACAGTACATATTTAGATATCAAACTGGCTGCATCGTTTGCTCTCCATCAGCTTCGATGACAGCACGTGGAGCCGTACAACCTATGTAAACAAAGGATCGCTACGCAAATCGAAATAGTGTTACATGTTTTGGGATATTTTCTCAGTGAAACTAAACCAGTCTATTAAAGATGTTTAGTTAGATGTGTAGACTCGTCATAATATAAGAGTAAAAGAAATCTGTACATTATATTGAATGGACATTGCAAGATGTGACGAATCGTCACATTTTTCTGGCCTGTGGCAGAGGTACTATGCTGGCTTGCCGCATGGAACTCTGGGTAGGAGAGTGCATGCAGAGACACGTAATCTGGGTTACAAATCATTGGTCACCTCGAGGCATTATATTCATTGAATCATGATAGACTAAATACGTATGATTTTGACATATAGTTTTCCTCAATGATGAGTTGGGCCATTTTCGCCAGCGAAATCCTTGGCCGTTTTACCTGCATCCAAATATACTCATGCCAGTAATGGTTGTCACCCCCTCCCCACCCCAACCCCACACACACCTCACACACCCACCCCACACACCCTCTCCAATTAAAAATTGAAGGGGTGACAACCATTATTGGCATGAGTATATGTTTTGGCTATTGTGACGATATGATGCACGAAGTCAAATATCTATTATATGAATACAGATTTATGTAGATATTACTAATATTACTATGTTAAACCATACTTTTCCGATATGTATGTATGTATGTATGTATGTATGTAGGTATGTATGTAGGTAGGTAGGTGGGTCACGGATATTTTCTTAAATAATGAAACTTGAATATTCCAGCTTCAAAAAGTTGTTTATCTTTATAATTTGTAATGTCAATAGCATATTCATTGGTTGTATACGTATTTCTGGTCGGCGAAATTGAAAAATAACTCTTTTTATTAATTTCTGTTTACATAATAACGTCTAAAATGGCTGGCCTCGGATGGTGTTTTGGTGAAGGTTTATTGTGTAGATTACAAACAATTACATGATCGCTGAACTCGCGTCGTACAACTACCTACAGACGTACGTCATTCAGCGGAAACAATACACATCGCTTGTTGTTGACAGGTGCACACATGGTACAGGGTACTGAATAAACATGTTAGAATATACACGTAAACACCAATTGCAGCTGTAACAAATTGTCTTTATGTATCGCTTGTTGATGACCAGTACTGTCTTAATGTAAACAGCAGATGTAACCAGTACTGAATAAACAGATGTAACCAGTACTGTCTTAATATAAACAGCAGTGTAACCAGTAATGTCTTAATGTAAACAGCAGCTGTAACCAGTATTGTCTTAATGTAAACAGCAGATGTAACCAGTACTGTCTTAATGTAAACAGCAGATGTAACCAGTACTGTCTTAATGTAAACAGCAGATGTAACCAGTACTGTCTTAATGTAAACAGCAGATGTAACCAGTATTGTCTTAATGTAAACAGCAGTTGTAACCAGTATTGTCTTAATGTAAAAGCAGCTGTAAGCATTGTCTTAATGTAAACAGCAGTTGTAACCAGTATTGTCTTCATCTAAACAGCAGATGTATTGTCTTAAGTATTGTCTCAATGTAAACAGACAATACAACCTACTTGTCAGATAATGTTTCAAAACATGAGACTAATATTGTCTTCTTGTAAACAGAATATTTGACCGGTATTGTATAAATCCGTTACCTCAAATAAACAACAGATATGACCAGTACTGCCTAATTGTAAACACAAGATGTGACCTACATGTCTAAATGGTAACAACAGATTTGTGAGGATATTCAGAATTGTAGAACGATGACAGAACCTGTGTGTCTGAACTTATCATCAGTATTGTGGTAACAACAGGCGTGAAATGCAAGGCTGAATGATAGTCAAGAATGCAGTGTGTAGTATTTGAATGTTAACAACAGATGCAGTGTTTGAATGTTAACAGATGCGGTGTTTGGATGTTAACAACAGATGCAGTGTTTAAATGTTAACATATGCGGTGTTTGGATGTTAACAACAGATGCAGTGTTTAAATGTTAACAGATGCGGTGTTTAAATGTTAACAGATGCGGTGTTTGGATGTTAACAACAGATGCAGTGTTTAAATGTTAACATATGCGGTGTTTGGATGTTAACAACAGATGCAGTGTTTAAATGTTAACATATGCGGTGTTTGGATGCTAACAACAGATGCAGTGTTTAAATGTTAACAGATGCGGTGTTTAAATGTTAACAGATGCGGTGTTTGGATGTTAACAACAGATGCAGTGTTTAAATGTTAACATATGCGGTGTTTGGATGTTAACAACAGATGCAGTGTTTGAATGTTAACAGATGCGGTGTTTGGATGTTAACAACAGATGCAGTGTTTGAATGTTAACAGATGCGGTGTTTGGATGTTAACAGCAGATGCAGTGTTTGCATGTTAACAGATGCAGTGTTTGGATGTTAACAACAGATGCAGTGTTTAAACGTTACCACCAGATGAGTGTTTAAATGTTAGCAACCGACAGTGTCTGAATGATAACCACACATGTAGTGTCAGTGCCTCGAGTGTTATCCGTGGTGGTCTACAGTGGGGATGTGGTGATGGGAACGTCACTTCTCTCTGTTGCACCGTTCTCCTCCACAATACTTATCACTTCAGGGCTGACGTTGTAGATCTCCTGACGTTTCAGTAAAGTTCTGAAAATAGACAGCACCATACACTCTCTGAAATTTGTGTGGCCGTTATTGGTTGTTATTAGTACCTTAAATGAGTCATTTATGCTGATGTGAAAATTTGGTGATGTAAACAATGATGCCTTAAGGTACAGTTGATACATACATAGGTGTTCGACTCATGACCTTGAACTTTGACGTCATTGCGTATAGCGTGACATTATCTTACTATGACAACAAACATCTTCAGTTAGTCAAATAAAAAT